GATGGTGATGTCGATGTGGCAATCGGGTCCATGCATGCATGTGTTTGCGTGTATGTATATGTATGTATGTATGTATGTATGTATGTATGTATGTATGTATGTATGTATGTATGTATGTATGTATGTATGTATGTATGTATGTATGTATGTATGTATGTATGTATGTATCTATGAATCTATGAATCTATGAATCTATGTATCTATGTATCTATGTATGTATGTATGTATGTATGTATGTGTGTGCCGTGTAAAGGTAGAGTATTTGACTAGGGGTATTGGGGATTGAGGTGGGGTGAGACGGGTGGAGGTGGAGGTGAGCATCGCCTTGCGCTGCTCTCGCACTCCTTTCCCCCCACTTTTCACTCCCTCTTTTCGGAACCCCTTTTCCTTGTGGTCTTGACCCTCGGCCCTTGGCCGCCACGGCGCCTCATTCCCGCTCGTCCACTCCGAGACAAAACTCCTTTTCCACTTGTACCGGCGTTACGCCTCCTTCCGGGGCTGGGCTGGTCACGTCTGGTCAGGTTTTTCTGTTAAATCGTTAACCGTTTCCTTCGGTAGTAGTACGCAATAGCATTAGCCGTCTGTCCGGTCAGTTCAGGTTGGGGCATCCTTTAATTTTAAGTATTAACCCTGCCAAAGTCCAACCCTTCCTTGTTCCTTTGCTGTTGCTGCTGCTGCTGCTGCTGTTGTTGTTGTTGTTGCTCCTTACTCCCGTACATCTTCTAGGACCTTCGGATGGCGCTGCTAGCCAAACAGGACAACCTGGCGTACGAGCATGTACGACAAGCCAACGAGGAGGTCGCCGCCAGGGCCGCCGCCGCAACCGCCGCCGCGCTGCTGGGCCCAGCGCAGCCCGCGCCACCGGTTACACTGCGGCGGCCGCTGCCGGCGGGGGGCGACGGCGGTGGCGAACCGGATGTCGTACAGCCCTTCTGGTCCCCTCCTGAAGCCGTGGCGGCTTGGCCGGCTGGCATGACGCAATATCCCGGCATGCGGCCGCCGGGTACGGCAGTCGAAGATTACGACACAACGCCGTACGGTCCTGTGCATCCGTACGACGCGGGTGATCCTTTCACGCTGGCATTTGCGGCGGCTCAGAAATCCGTGGCGTCGGCACTACCGCCACCTACCCTTGCCGCATTTCCTTCTGCGCCTCTGCCACCGTTGCCGTACAGCGCCACCTCTGCCTCCGCTGCCGGCTGGTTCGGTGAAGTGGACGGACCCGCGGGTCCCCATTTGCCGTACGTGTTCCCCGGGGACGTGCCTTTGTGTGATGTGGAGCTTTTGGATCCAGAGGTCACACTTTCTNGTGAGTTCCCCCCCATCCCCAACCCCCCCAACCCCCACAAATATACACATGG